ACTTTAAACACTTTATGAAATTCTACAAATCAGTTCAGGTGTATAATAGCTTACTTTAAACAGTTTATAAAATTCTACAAGTCAGTTCAGGTGTATAATAGCTTACTTTAAACAGTTTATAAAATTCTACAAATCAGTTCAGTTGTATAATAACTTACTTTAAACAGTTTATAAAATTCTACAAATCAGTTCAGGTGTATAATAACTTACTTTAAACAGTTTTTAAGACTTATGTTTAAAGAAATCTTTTAAAACATAAATATATCTAAGAATATGAATCGTTTATATCATGCCATTTGAAGGCTGCAAGAACAGCAATAAAGATAGTTCTCAAAGTGTGACATTTCTTGAAAGCTTGTAACAACAGTGCAGGCTTGAAGGTGAAAGTCTCACGTACTTTTGTAGTTTCCATCAGTGAGTTTTCTGTACTTCGAACCGTTCATTCCTGATATAAAGATTTTTGGAATGATGTTTCAAACCACTCGTACAAAAAGAAAATATTTCAAGATGGTTTAGTTAAAAATGTGCTTAAGAGGGTAATGAAGATTGTATTGGTGATTTTGTAATGGAGCCGTTATGAGTTGGTAAGATTTTAAATTGTATTTACATTTTAACAGCGACTTTTATTTTCAAGGTTTCTATTCTTGACTTTTTAATTCATGCCAAATTTCTATTATCACTATCTAAACATTGTTATTTTTTATCAACTGCTCGTGAAAGTAATTTAAATCTTTAATACTTGGATTCATCTTCTGAAACAATAGAGATCAGGGTTAGTAATCTGTGTTTCTTGTATCTAAACGTGTAGAGATCAAGGTTACTAATCTGTGTTTCTATACTTGTATCTAAACGTGTAGAGATCAAGGTTACTAATCTGTGTTTCTATACTTGTATCTAAACGTGTAGAGATCAAGGCTACTAATCTGTGTTTCTATACTTGTATCTAAACGTGTAGAAATCAGGGTTACTAATCCGTGTCTCTATACTTGTATCTAAACGTGTAGAGACCAAGGTTACTAATCTGTGTTTCTATACTTGTATCTAAACGTGTAGAGATCAGGGTGAGTAATCCGTGATTCTGTACTTGTATCTAAACGTGTAGATACCAGGGTTACTAATCTGTGTTTCTATACTTGTATCTAAACGTGTAGAGATCAGGGTGAGTAATCTGTGTTTCTATACTTGTATCTAAACGTGTAGAGATCAGGGTGAGTAATCTGTGTTTCTATACTTGTATCTAAACGTGTAGAGATCAGGGTTAGTAATCCGTCATTCTGTACTTGTATCTAAACGTGTAGAGATCAAGGTTACTAATCTGTGTTTCTATACTTGTATCTAAACGTGTTAGTTAACCTGTCCGAACTTTACAGCTTATAACAACGTTCCGTTGTTCATTAAAATAACACTTTGTCATCTTGCGAAACGTTGGTCGTTTCAAACGTATCTTTTTATTTAAGAAAGATTAAATTACTGTGTATAGATCACTAATAACTTCTAAGATTGTATACGACTTCTTGTTCCAAAATCTACGAGTCTTACACGTTTCTTGATTTTTTGAAAACAACGTTTCGAGCTAGCACTATTTTTCAGATCGTAAAACATGGTGATTATTCTTTAATTTCTGTACTTAAACATATTTACTTCTTTATATGATATTTTGTTTACAGATAGAGTGTATGTCTTTAACTCATTATTACATTCTTCTCTGCTTTCATCCATAAGTGTTATATTCACCCATAAGTGTTATATTCACTCGTAAGTGTTATATTCACTCATAAGTGTTACATTCCTGACAATAATTTTTATTTCTATAACCCTAAAGTTTTTTGCTTCGGTCACTTGATTTACGAGGGATTACACTTTGTTCAACAAGTAATTTTTCTGACGAAACAAGACACCAGTTGTGTAGATGTTACAGGCATTGTTCTTCACGTAATCACCCCTGTTTACTCTTTCTATCAACTGTTCATCTGCTTCAAGTACGCTAATGTAAGTAAATCTTCATTCTATCAACTGTTCATCTGCTTCAAGTACGCTAATGTAAGTAAATCTCTATTCTATCAACTGTTCATCTGCTTCAGTTACGCTAATGTAAGTAAATCTTTATTCTATCAACTGTTCATCTGCTTCAAGCACGCTAATGTAAGTAAATCTTTATTCTATCAATGGTTCATCTGCTTCAAGTACGCTAATGTAAGTAAATCTTTATTCTATCAACTGTTCATCTGCTTCAAGTACGCTAATGTAAGTAAATCTATTTTATCAACTGTTCATCTGCTTCAGTTACGCTAATGTAAGTAAATATTTATTCTATCAACTGTTCATCTGCTTCAATTACGCTAATGTAAGTAGATCTCTATTCT